GCTAGGCACTAGTCTATGCATTTTACATTCATCGTTGCTTTTAATCGTCACAACACCTCTTATGAGATAGCCACCATTTACAGGTGAGTAAACCAGAGTTCTGCAAGCGGAGTTGACTTATCCAAGGTCACACAGATCCTAAGTGTCAGGGCAGAGCTGTATCCAGGCTGTCTGACCCAAACCTGGGCTCTTAACCTCCTAACTGAATGCAAAATCTCTGGCTCAACTACTAACTGCTCAACTGAACTTCAGGCCTGAACTGTGTCCCCTGCTGTCCTTTTCCATCCTCTACAGATGTCCCACAGGATCCCGATTGCCACATTGTCACCCCCTACACACACACTGCTGCTTGTCTTCTGGCACTTGCCATTCTCAGTGCTATTCACTAGCCTATATGGGGCCTTGGTGAGAATCAGAAATAGGCACCCTCCTCCCTGCCAGCTGACACAGGCCCAAGCCAGCTTTTAGGGCCTGGTTAGTGTAGGCACAGGCTGCACAGCCCAGTGCAGTCTCCCTGGCTCCACCATCTTCCATTTTGCTCAGGACGATACTTGGACTTATCATCCTTGAATAACACACTCTCTCTTTTTCTCTCTCTCCCTCTTCCACTTCTCCAGGGGGGTAAGGTCTGCAGCAAACATGGTCCTAGAAATGTGGTCAGTCTCTTATCTTCTGAAATAATGCCCCAGGGTAGAAGCCACTGGGTTCCCAGACCATTTCTGAGAGAAAGGGAGGTGTGTCATCAGGACCAGGATGACGAAGACCCCAAGAGCTTGGTCCCCACCAGTAGTGCATAGAAGCTGAGATATTCATGGACTTGGCATCTTGGGTGACAAGGAGGGGTCACTGGAGGTCTGGCTGCCCTTGAAGCCCTTGGGAAAACTGAGCAAGGAGCTGGCATAACCTATGGGAGTTCCTAGGGATCCCTGGTCCCAGTGCTTAAGGGGGAAGAGCCCCACCTGAAGTTCAAGTTCAAAGGCTCTGCTGAATCTGTTCTTCCTGTTGAGTGTGCAGCCACCAGATGGCAGCCCAGGTTATAGGCAGAGAGCATTGCCTCTACGCCACTCCCCACACCCCACAAAAAAAGCTACCAAACCAATTAAAAAACAGAAGGCCAGATGGAGCAGTGACACTCAGGAGAGCTTGTCACTGACCCCAGGACCTTCAACCAGAAAGAGAGGGAGAGAGCGTGAGCAAGCCATAATTGAGGGGTATGGACAGACTTACAGCTGGACAGAGGGCTGAGGTTTAGTCCCTTCCTTTGGGTCTCTTCACCAAGCCTAGGGCTTCCCTTCTCCTGAGTCCAGCCCTGTCCTGGGTGTTGATGACACACAGAGAAAAGTGACCCCATTCTTGCCCTTGAGGAGCAATCAGGCCTGGGCTGGAGCTGGGCACAGACACGTAAACAGACAACAAGAGGGTGTGAGTGCAAAGAAGTCTGGAGTAACCCAGAGGAAGCACCTAACCCAGGGTCAGGGAAGGACCTTTCCAGACCAAGTGACATCTAAGCTGAGCCTAGTGGGTCTTCTGGCAAGTCTCAGGTGTGATAATAACATGCATTATCTCTTTCCTCCCAGCAGCCCTACAGGGAAGTCATGGCAGAACCAATTTACTGGCAAGTGAACAGAGCATCTACATAAATGGTCCCATGAGCAGTGAGGAATACAGCTGGAATTTGAACTCAAGACTGGAAGATTCTCAAGCTCAAACTCTTGGCCACTCTGTGTACTTCCAGGGACTAAAAACTGGGAGAGGGGTCCAGGCCCTAAGTCAGATCTGGAGGGGATGCAGGTGCTTCCTGCCCTGATCCTAGAGCACGTCTGACAGCTCCAGCCATCTGAGTCACTTGTGAGGTTGGTCCAAGGGGACAGGACAGAGTGTGTGTGACCTCCCAGCGACCCTCTGCACCCTACACCCCAGCTCTACCCTGGGCTGGAGGAGAGTGCCCAGCAGTAGTCCCGATGTGGTGGCTCCTTGAAGCACAATAAGCAAGCAGTGTTTCTGCTCATGATAACCTAAGCATGAGTGAAGTAATCTTGAAAATCATCTCGATCACCTGGCACTCTGGCCTATATAACAGGTGGCATTCAAGATAGAACTCCAGGCTGGAAGTTCTTTTTCAAGTCTAACTGAAGTAAGCTGTGATGCAATCTACAAATCTGCAGTTCCTGGGTGGAGCCTTCAATGCTTGAATTTGGGTGTAATCTACTATATAACCCTGTGAAAGTCCCATATTTTGGGTAGGGGAGGAAAAAGAAAGGTGCAAGTCCTGTTGCAGGTAGTAGGAGGAGCAAGAATATCTTATAGCAGTAAGAGAACCCGCTGGTCCTAGCCACCGGGGCCTGGGCAATCTCAGCGTTGTGCCCAGAGAGCAGGTGGAGGGATCAAGGGGAGATGATGCCGCACAAAGAAATGAGACTCCAGTGAGGGCAGGGGACTTTCCCCACCAACGGCCAGATCAGGGCAGCTTGGGCAGGTGTGGAGGGCGGGGACGGAGGGGAGAAGGGCTAGAGGGGAGAACCAGCTGGACATAGAGAAGGATGCAAGGAGAGAGAGGGGACGGTGAGCACTGAGCGCAGGTGGAGGGAAAAGGGGAAGACGGGGCGGAGATAAAGAGATGGAGATAAAAAAAACAGAGGCCAGGACACGCACTCAGAAAGAGAAAAAACAGTGATGGAGATCGGAGATCGGTAAAGACTGGAAGAGTCGGGGAAGACACCCGGTCAGGGTGGGGAAGGTCCTAAATGGAGAGAAAAGGGTGGGGAGCGAACGGGAAGGGGTGAAGGAGCACTGACCCTTCGGGGGTTTCTTGCGCGCGGGTCCCAACGCTCCGCCGGCCGGGGGCCCTCCCCCTCGGCTGTCACTCCAGGAGTTCGGCATCCCCTCCCCCCGGGGCCGGGGGCGGAAAGCGCACCTCCCGCCCCGCCCCCAGTCCAGAAGCTCCGCTCCCCAGGCCCGGTGAGCGCCGCCCCTCGGGACCGGCTGTGCTGCCCCCATAGATGGTCGGGGGCCCAGATGGTGCGTTATCAGCCTCCTCCAGAAGCAAGCCTTAGCCACTCAGCGGCTGCCAGTCTGAGATTAGGCCCCCGGGGGGTCATTAAGCGCCGCCCTGGCCCAGGCCCAGCCTCCTTCCCCTCCCTCATTTGACCAGGCCAGCAGGTGGGAACTAGCGATAAGGATTGGGGGCTCCGGCGTTTCTGGGGCCTGCAGCTCCATGCCCTCTGCCCCCTGCCAGGGCAGGAACCAGGGAGTAGGGGGAAGGGCGGTCAATACCAGCACCTGCAAGGACCCCCAGAGTTCCCACCCTCCTGGTCCTGCCAGCATGGACAGGGGGCTGGGGAGGCCCAGAAGGCTGGGGATGTGCCCAGGAACCAGGGCAGGCCCCTGCACTCCCATCCCACCTGGTAAAACCTCGCAGGTGAGAGGGGCTGTCTTCACTTGTAGCAGGGAGACAGAGGGATGGTGGCTCTGCCTTTGGGCCCTAGTGGGCGGGTGGAGGGCCAGACTCAAGTCCACCCCATCCCTCAGTGACAATTTGGGGGCAGCAGTGAGAGGGAATGTAGCTTCAGCTGAGGAGAATCCATCCAGGTAGCCAAAAAGTCCAGACCAGGGGGCTGGAGAGGAAGAAGGGGGTGTCCGTACCTTAGCAGAGGTCCTCTAGGAACCTCCATCTCTCCCCTTCAGTAGGTGAGAGGTTGGGCTGGCCAGTCCCCTAGCTCTGCCCTCTGGTTTAATGAAAGAAGACTGTCTAGAGGAAGAGGAACCTTGGCTGGACCAAGAAAAAAGGAATATGCAGAGTTTAAACTGTCAGAGGTGGGCGAGAAGGCATCAGCCCACGTGATGGCTCTTTGAAGCACAATAAGCAAGTAGTATTTCTACTCATAATACTCTGAGTGACGTAATCTTGAAAATTATCTCAATTACCACATGAGCAAAAGTCTAGAGTGGGAATCACAAGGGCTACATACGGCCACAATTCACTGAGCTGAAACTTAGAGAGGAGAGGAGACTTGCCCCAAGTTCACACAGCAGGGCAAGTGTAGGCCTGGGGCAAAGACCCTGCCATCCCTCTGTTCAGGGCTCTCACAACTGCTGTGGACTGCAAACTGGACCCCAAGGAGGAAAGAAAAGATAATTCAGATTTCAGATGGGTCTCCCTGGAGGTATTTGAGTGAAGCCTTTGAATAGCAGAGAAATGGCTGTGATGGTGAAGTGAGGGGGCTGTGACAGGTTGGGACAGGTGGCAGGTGGAGATCTTGGGGACAAGGTGGACTGCCTCCTACTTTCCAGCCCTACTCCTCTGCATCCGGGAGTGCTCCCTGGTGAATATGACTCAGGTTGTCACCCCAGGCAGAGAGACAGAGTCTGTTCCTGTAAGAAGGACAGTCACGGAGGTGAGGGTCCTCCAGGGTCAGCCAGTGGCTGAATCATGCCTCCTCCCTCCTCTCCTTCCAGCTTCATCCCTGCAGGGACCCTAACTCCATCCCCATCTGGGACTGGGAGTCTGTGGTGAAACTGGCCAAACCTGCCACAGAGGGGAAGCTGAGCTCAGAGAGGGTGGGGACTTTCCCAAAGTCACACAGCAAGTCGGTGGAGGAGTGGGGACTCAGATCTGGGCTTTTTAAGTCCTAGCCCAAGACTTTCCTGGTGCTTCCTCCACCCAAAGACCATCCAGAGACGCTATGGGGAGGGGATTTAGAGCTGAATGAATGAGATAAGCAAACCTCCAGCAATACCAGGCAGCATGGAGGCAAGGAGGATGGGATTGGTGCTGCCTGGAATAAGGGTAGAGTGGGTGAGCCGCCCAGCCCCATAGGACCTCCCAGAGAAGACTTCCTGGGTAATCCTCCAAAGCCACCATGCCAGCGGCTTTGGAAGGTGATTGTCATGATGCAGAGAGCAAGACAGGGGCTCTCTGGAAGCCTGAGGGACTATTCTGAGTCCTGGGAGCCTCAGCCTTGGAAGTACAAAAGTCTTTATTTCACAGAAATAAGGGCCATTTCACTGTGATGGGAAGAAATGTGAGGCAGGATGGGAGGTACTAAGCTGTCTCCTTCAGAAGAGCCTACTAAACTGAACTGAGCAGGAGACCCGCCCCCCACCAGGAGACCCCAGGGCCACAGCTAGCCCTAATCTAGACACAGTCTGAGTTCTGACATTGGCTGGGACAATTTAAGGCAGGGTAGGGTTGAAGGAGTCCGTCTGTTACTGTAGATTCCTGCTCAGAGGAGGGGCATTGATTACAGGTGCCCAGGATTGGTGCTGGTGGCCACAGGCAAGTGGGATCACATGGGGGTGCTCCGGACCCTGCCCTCCTCTGAAGGGACATTCCCATAGGCGTTGTCATGCTCGTCAGACCTGAAAGAGGATGACAGTGGTCATTACACCTTCCATCCTATCCCTTCTCCCTGCCCCATGCTGCACTTGTGAGAACAGTATCTTTCGGAATAAGCATTTGAGTCCCAGAAGGGGGTTCTCCTGACCACATCTGGGCTTCTGCCCCTGAGACTGGAGACTTCTCAGCACCACCTCCATGAACCCCACCTTCCTCCTCCACTGGGCCCTTCCGTACAGTCACTGCTGGGCCCCCTGTTGAAGCCAACTCCCTACTGAGCTCTCTCCCCACACTGAGTGCTCTCACTCAACCCTTCAGAGTCCCTTTCCCTCATTGACCCTCTTTTCCCCACTGCACCCCTCCCTGAGTCCCAATCCGCCCACTGAGCCCTTTGCCCCACCAAGTCCCCATCCCCTTCCTGGACCCTCTCCCCAAACTAAGGCTTCTTGTTCCCATGGAGCCCTGCAGTCATCATAAAGCTCTCATGGCTCACTAGTTCCCCTCACTGAACCCTCTCCCCTCACTGAGCTCTTCCCCACATGAGTCCCCATTCTTCCTGCCCCACCCCCGCGCTGACTCCCTTGTCAGAAGCACGTGGTCCTGAGGTCCCCAGGGGCCCCAGAGCGCCTCACCTGAAGCTGGCCGCCGTTGAGGAGTACTTTCCCTCCATTCCTACCAGGATCCCGTCTGCCTTGTTTCCAATGGGCATGACTGAGTTCTGGGGCTCCCTGTGGACAGGGTTCATCAGTATGACTCTCTGGATCCCCTCCCCTTTAGTTCCCCCGCCTCCCCACATCCAGTAAGACCCTGTTCTGGGCTCCGGTTCTCTCAAGTCCAAGGGCAGAGACTGCTGCCCCTTGGCAGAAACCCCTCTCTCCTGCAGGGCCCCTGTCAGGACCCAAGTCTGGCCCCCGTCAGTACCCAAGTCTGGCCCCCTCCACAGAATCTTACACCTTTGTCCCTGCTCCACAGTGGCAGCACCAGGTCCCAGCCTAAGAATAGCAAGAGATTGACCTGAGGCCCTTCCCAGTCTCCCTTGCTGTTCTTTTGACATCAGCTCTGCTCAGAGCAGACCCAGCAGGGCTCAGCATCTGCCCAGATCTCCACAGGCCTTTCACAGGCCTTTCAGTGGAAGCTGCATGGTCAGCAGCCACTGAAGGCAGAGCTGGGTCAGTGGAGAAAGGAAGCACTTGCAGAGAAAAGCTCCTGGACTCTTATTTAAGTTGAAACCCACTGGGTGTGGCCTCTGCCCCCACCTTCCGGAAACTGCTTTCAGGAGGGTCACAGGAAGCCTTACTGCTGCACACCTTGGAAATCCCACAGGCTCCTCAGACTTAATATGTCCTGATTAAGTTGCCCCAGATCTGCTTTGGTGTTCTCTGTCTCAAGGAGTGGTCAAAAGCCTGGCTGTTTCCCTGTCCTTCCTCCCTCTTACCCGTTGCTGTCCCCCTCCTCCAATTCTCAGAGGACCTGATGACAGCAGACAGCTTAGACCTGTCCCCTCTCTTAGACCTGTCCCCACACCCCCTTGGTAGCCTCCACTGTCCAGACCCTCTCCTGACTGCATGCTCTGCCTCCGCGTTGCTCTCCTCGCCTGCAGACTGGCCCCTACCCCACATGTCCACCACGGGCAGTTGGAGTGATTCTACTCAGGCGTGGACCTGCCTACAATCTTTCACTCAGTTCCTACGGCACTACGGAGAAGCCCCATTTCGGGGCATCGGTGTACAAGGATCTACTTAGCCCCTGCCCTGCCTTCCTCACTAGCTTACCTTGGACCTCTCCATCCCCCTCTCCACCCACGAGTTGCTTGCGTTCCCTCAGTGGGCTGTAGCCAAGGCCACCTGTGTGAGAGCTAGGGGCAGCTGCAGCCTTGCCCCAGAGTTGGCAAGTGCAGAGTGGGCCAGATTTCAGCCAGCAGCCCTCCCCCGCAGTGCTCTGCCTGTAACTCAGGGCCCCAGGGGCACTCTTCCCTCACTGCAGCCCCCTTCCTGTGCCACCTTGTCCTGAGACTGGCTCCTCCTTATTCTTTGGGCTTTAGGATAAAGATGCAATGGACAGAGGCCTTCTTGGACCACCCCCTAGCCTCCAGACGAGGTCAGGCCTCCACTGCACTCTGCACTCCCCTCAGCATCAGCGCTTGCACTTGTGATGGCTGCTTCCATGTCTGCCTTTCCTTCCAGTCTGGGAGCCAGGGAGCCCAGGGGTTGTCTATCTACTGCCTGTCTGTACCCCAGAGTGTGGCACAGCAGCTGACCTTAAGGAAGGATAGAACCTTCCTTTCCAGAGGTTTTCACAGCCCCCATTGCAGGCTGGGTGGCTGTCCCCACTATAAAGATAGACACATTGAGACTCCAGGAAGAGAAGACATTTCCCCGACCTCACAGTGAGTGAGCACCAGAGCTGTGGGGCCATCAGAAGCAGGTCTGGGAGCTGGTAAACTGGCGCTTTAATCTCCAAGACATAGGGCCTCAGTGTCCCTTCCACACAATGGGAGGACTGGACTCAGGGTTTCTGAGGCCCTTCTCACTGCTCCTGGGGCAGTAGCCATGGTCCTGGGGCCACCCTGCCTGTGGTGGCCCAACCCCCGGGGTCCCTGGAAGCACTCACGGCTCCTCTTGGCACCAGAAGTGGTTGACAGCAAAGGCAATTGCGACAAGGACCAGGAACACGGCCACAGCGATAAGGCCCTGCATCCAGGGCTGCAGGTTCCCCAGGCCTGGAAAAAGGGAAGTGAGAGGGTGCTACAGTAGCCTGAGCCACAGGGAGCTCAAGTGCAGAGCGGGGGAGGGAGGGCAGCCCAGGCCAAAGGCCAGGGCCTGTGTTAGAGGCCATTAGCCAGCTGCCAGGACCAGAGGAGACATTCTAGGATGGCAGGGGTGGGAAGGGGGACCTATCTGACCCTCCGCTGAGCTTCAGAAAGGGATGGAGGTTTGGAGGAAGGAAGACAGGAGTTCCAAGAAGGAACAAAGAGCTGAAGAGAGAACAGGCTTCAGAATACTGTGACTGAGATCCAGACAGCTCAGAACAACCCCCCCCCCAAACATGGGTCACATGCAGGGCCCCCCAGGGAGTGCCTGGGCCCCAGGGACCAAAGGGCAGCCCCCTGGACAGCTGGCCTAAGCCCTGCCAACCAGGAGTGGCTCCCCTCCTCCCCGACTCCCAGCAGGCTGGGCAGCCCAGGGCTGAGAGCACTGCGCTGGCATCTGGAAGATCCTGTTCTGTGACAAGAAGGTTCTATGGTGCTGGGCAGGGCATGGGAATGAGAGACAGGCTGGGCCAGGGGTGCTGGGGTGCCCGGAGAGAGGGGTGGGACAGAACGTCTTTGGAAGGCAAGACAGAACTCTCCTCTGGGTCAGCTAGGTGCCCAAGGGAGTAGGCCAGAGAAAGAGTAGGCCCTCTTTCTGCCTTTTGACCCTTAAGAGTTAAGTTTAACTTTTAATACCATCTCTAACTCTCAAGGTTTCCCAGAAGCCTCTGCCCTCAGCCACTGACAGCCCCAAAGAGCTCTTATCTCCCTGGGCATCACTGTGCTCCCTGAGCCTGTGGGAGCTTGGCCTACAGAGGACATGCACACAGCAGCAAGTTGAGGACTCAGAGGGGACAGAAGCTAATGGGAGGCTTCAGAGGGGTCCTGCCTCCAGGCCAAAACACCTGCATTCTAGTGCCATCTTGTATTTTGAGGGACCAGTCTGGACATCAAAAATCTCATTCTGCTTCCCTCTTAATCAAATGTCCTTCCTTGAGTCTACCCTAAAGCCCTCCTGCTATAGTGAAAGCTCTGCCTCTTTTCGGAGCTCTCTCTGAACCTGGCAGGTACTGGAAAGGAGGGAGGGAGAGGTCCCAGAACTCTATGGCCAGGTCAGATCTGGCCCCTTTCCTTGGGTAACAAAAGATTCACCATGTGGTTACCCTGAATTCCATACTTGCCAAAAAGCAATGTTTTGGACTCATTGTCCCCCGCCCCTACCCGCAAACAAAAAAAAAAAACCGTTTTACACTCATCGTTTCCTCAGGCTAATGGTTGCTCAAGGATTGGGAGTTAGGGCTCAGGTGCTGGGAGGCCCCTCCTTGCTTCTTCCAAACTCTGCAACTCCCTGCAGATACACAAGCGTCTACAGTCCCAGCCTCTCTTTCCATGTGGCTCTGGGGTGAGACATAGAGCAAAGGGCAGAGCCTGGGGTAAAAAAGGAGGTGATCTGACCCCTGTACCTATTGCTCTGCTCTGTGATCCACACAAGTTACTCAACCCCTCTGATCTCCAGTTTCCAAGAAGCCTTCCCAAAGACAGAGTTGAAGCAGATGTGTATGAGCGCTCAGGATACCTGCCAATGAGGGTGCCCTGCAAGAATCTTTGCCAGCCCCCTCTGGACCCAAATTCTACATGCAGAATCCCTAGACTTTGGCTACAGATGTGCCCTCACAATGCAGAGCAGACACCAGATCCTGGGGTGTGGTGCTTCACAGCGCCAAGCCCTTCTACACCCCTGACGTGGCAGCCACCCCGGGAGCTGGGCAGGGCAAGTTTATTGTCCTCATTACATGGATGAGAAAGCTGAGTTGCAGAGAAGGGCAGTGATTTGCTCAAGGCCATACAACAAGATAGAGGCAGAGCTGGATAAAGAGTTCAGGTACGTGGTGGGGGCCACACTGGGGCACTGTCCCCTACCAAAGCCCAGGAAACTGAAACAAGAACATAGGCCAAAGCCAAGGGCAAACCAGTGACAGCTCTGCCCCTCCCTGGCACAGGTGGTCGGTCCTCATCCTCACCCTCTTCATAACCCTGACCCTTGTTCTCAGGTCCCAGCTATCTCTAGGGAAATTTCTGCTCCTAGGGCTTGGGTCTCAACTTCTCTCCCCAATCCTAGACCCAACATTTCCCCTGTTGCCTGCATTTCTCACTTGTGGAAAACAAGTTACAGGCAGGAGCCTGGCCCCGAGGTCTCTGCCTTTGGAGCTTCCTCCACGAGCCCAGTTCCTGTTCCCTCCTCCAAGCTGCAGGTGTCAAAAGTGGCGATGAAGGTCAGAAAACACCTCCCCCCCATCCACACTTATGTTGTGGCACCCAGCCCGGCCGTCTGCACCTCACAGGCCCGGTCTTATGCTAACCTTGTTGACAGCTGGCAGGTGGCACCGCCGTGAGCAGGCCCAGAATGACCAGGCTGAGGGCTGACATGGCTGCAGGCAGCTCCTGGGTCTTCTCTCTGGCTGCTGGTGTCTGGGCTCCTAGAGCAGCTGTGGGGTCTGTTGGTGTGCGCTGAGATCAGCTGGAGCTCAGTCTGGCCCTGGAGGAGAGAAGCTAGTAAGGAAGAAGGTGAGGGAGAAAGGAGGTGGGAAGGTGGAAAGAAACTTCCCTCCCTCCCATGGTAATGAGCTGCCAGGACTGGCCTCCCTGGCCAGGGCCCAGCCCACTGGAACTGGCATTTGAGGTCACCTTTCAGAGGCTGGCTAAGGAAGTGGGTCTGTGGACCAGGGGGATACGGGGAGAGTTAGGGCCTTACCTGCAAGCCCCAGGCCTTCCCAGAGTTTTTACATCAGCTCCCCTTTCCTGGCTGTGGGGCTGGGCTTGGGGAAAAGAAGTGACACAGATAATGAGTCCAGTGGGTAGGGCCTCTTGGAAGGCAGACAGTAGGATTAAGAAATTTGCTGGTTGGCTGGGAGAGAGTGGGGGAATCCCAGAGGCTAGAGGAAGGTCAAAGCTGCCCCTCCCACAAAGCCTGGCCTATTCACTGCTCTCCCCTCACCTGTCCCTACTCAGTCAAGACTCAGTCCTGGGACACAGTCCTGGGACAGAGCCCTGGCTTCTGTCCCTCTGCCCCTGACCCAGCTCAGTAACTCTCTAAATCCACCCTCTCCCATGGGGGTCACCACAGAGGGCCCATGGTTCCCAGTCCCCATCTTCCCTACCCAGCCCAGCTGATCTGGCTCAGTCCAGCTCTTCCTCTTGGCCCCAGAAGTGGTTCCTGGAATCTGGGTGGGACCTCTCTGGGACAGGATCTGGGCTTGGTCAGAAGTCTTTACACATACCTCTGATTCACCTCCACCCATCACAGGGAGACAAGAGGCAGAACCCAGCCCCATTGTGGAGGGCAAAGAAAGCCCTTAGGTGGCAAGGCCCCATCTGGGGCCCATACTCCTGGGCCCTCAACCCTCAGGATCACATGGAGTCCATCGGGTCCTCCTGATCAGGAACTAAGAATGACCCAAGTGTCTGTTGAGGCCTAGAGCCAAGGGTTATGCTTGGTCTCCTTGCCCCACCACTCCCCAAGAGTACGGGAAGCCAGAGGTGCTGAGAGTCCAGCTCCACAGACACCAAGAAAGAAGAGCCAGCAGACCAGGGTGAAGTCTCAGAGTTGGAGGGTCCCTAGAGGCAGGGCATGAGCTAGAAACCCCTCCGCAGCTTCCCTGGCCAGAAGCCACCAAACTGCTGCTCACAGGACCTCCTGGGCAGCTTTCTCTATGCAGAAGAGGTCTTCTAGGGGCAACACTCAGACATCATGCCTCGTCCCTGCTTCCTGTATGTGTCTGGGTATGAGTGGGGGTGTGCACATAGCAGTGAGGGCCCATTTCCACCCAAAGATGGGGTGTCTCAAGGTAACCCAGAGAGACTTGGCTTGGAGGCAAATGGCACTTCCCATATATGTAAGACCTGTTCTGCTTCTCTACCCCAACCTGGTGTCCTCAGAATCTTCTGGCACAAAGTTTGTCTAGAGTAGGCACCATGTATGTTAATGAACAGCCACAGACTCACTGCCTGGAATGCAAGGACCCAGGTTGAATTTAACAAACATCCACAATGTCTTCTTCAAGGGTTTTAAGGGGAGTCACATGGTCAGGTTTGCATTTGAGAAAACTCCTCTAGGTGGTGAGGGAAGAATGAGAGGGAAATATACAGACTGAAGACAGGGAAACCAGGGCTGTGGCCTGCACTAGGGGAGTGGCAGTAAGAATAGATCTGAGCCCTCTTTCGGAGGTACGATAGATGGGATGCGGTTGCTAGAACACAACGACTAGCTTGGAGCGGGTGGTGAGAGACAGGGAGGAGCTGAGGGAGACTCCCGGTTCCAGCTTGGGTAACTGGTGAATGGTGGTGCCTAGGACAAGGTGGGGCACGTTTCAAAATATAGGAGGAATGACGAGCTACAGGCCTGGAAGTATCGCGTCTGTGGTGCCTGCTGGCCCCCTCCAGAGGGAAATGCCAGAAAGCAGCCGGATCCCTGGAGCAGAAAGCTAGATCCAGGAGCCATGTGTAGCACAGCTTTGGTGACTGAGGCATGAGAGTGCATGGTCTCCCAGGTATGTGTGCGTGCGCATGTGCGTGCATGTGACAGGAGGAGAACAGGGAAAAGGAGGGAAGCAGTGAGGGGCCAGAACGCAGCCAGAACGCATAAGGGTCTTTCGTGAAAGAGGAGCCAGGATGCAGCAGGAGAAAGAAACTCCGGAACAGAGGGTGTTCCAGAAACCCAGAAAGGAAAGATAAAGAAGACATGGGCAGGGAAGTCACTGCTGTGAGCTCCCCCCACCACTCCCCACCCCACTGCCCCCCCATCAGCCGGTGACTCACAAGAGCAGCCCGGCCTCTCTCATGAGTCCCCAAGTCTCAGATCCTGCCTCCCTCACCTGAGCATCACCCCCACTCCCCTAAAAATCGTGAGGAAGGGCAAGGATTCCCTGGGCCATGCTTTGGGGATGGTGGGGGAAGGGGATAAGCAGGAAGGACATCAGGTGACCAACAGAAGGAAAACACACCTCCCAGGTCAAAGTCCCAAGCTTTAGAGCAAAACAAGCTGTTCCGGAAAGGGGGGTGTGGGTGGACACTGACTTTGAGGCTGGTCCCTGCTCTCTGGGTGTCCTCATCCAGCCGGTGGGGGGTCACCTCCCCAGCTGTATGGACACAGCCCTGGGTCCCCATGGCAACAAGCTGGGCCCCCCCCCCGCCACGGGTCTGGCTTGGACCCAAGATCTGGACACAGGCCTCAGGAACCCCATGGGGCTGGACCCTGTGTCCTCATCTCTGAGCTGCTGTTCCATCAATACTCAGTTCCTTCTTCCTGTTCCCAGCCCACCTCTGCCATCCCGAATCATCAGGCTTTCTTGGACAGGCCCTCTATGTAGCTAAACCTTGTGTGCTTACCCTTCAGAAAAGCCCAAGTGGACCTAGACTGTTTCCTGGAGTCCCCTCTCTCCACACCTCATCCTGCCTGCCATTCCAGTTATTGCCAGCAGGTGGCAGAGCCCAGACCCAATCCCAGAGTGGCTGGAGAGGTCAGAGGGGGCCAATTTCCAGCTGAAGATTCTGCAGCTCCCCTCCCTCCAGCGGATCGTTCACCTCCTTCTGGGGTGGTTTGGAGGAAGGGAAAGTGGACACTATCATGGAAACAGTCAGCGATGCTGGGAACAGTGCTCATGGCATGCTCAGGGCTGTGCCGTAGGGAATTTCAAGGGACTAAATTATTCAGGGAGGCATCCTGGAGGAGGTGGTGCAAGGACAAAAGTTAGCTGAATTGCTGGACTGAGCAGAAAGGGTCCCAGGAGGGCAGCCAGGCAGAGAGCTCAGCCTGAGGGAAAGCAGGGTGTTTTGAGCACAGAAATAAAAGCTTTTTTTCACTCTTTCTTATAATATTTTATCTCATTAATGTCTGTGTTGCGAGCCTAAGAGCATCTGGAGACTTCTATTCTTTCAAACATATCCTGCTTAAACCCCTCAAGGGCTTCCAGTAGCTCTTAAGACAATATGCAAACGCCTTAGCATGGGCTCCCATACCCTTAGCATGAAGACCCCATACCCTGCCCTCACCATCCTCTCCAGCCTCATGTGGCCCCAATGCCTCTTGTCAGTCCTAGCAGTAGCGCAGCTCCTACCTGCATCAGGGCCTCTCCACACTTGCTCTTCCCTCTGCCTGCACTGGACTTCTTGTCCCATTTGCCTGGCAGATGCTAACAGATCCTCTAAGCCTTGCCTTAAATGCTATTTTCTTTGACCTCCCCTTTTCCTCCTCCTTCTGTGAATCCTCCCCCTTCTATGAGTCCTCCCTGCTCGTCTCTTTACAGCCATTATCACAAATTACAATCATACATTGATTTCTGGATTCCCTCACTTAATGTCTGTCTCCCCAGAGGGAAGACATCATATGCTGTCACCCCAGCACCAGCTACTGAGCGTCACGCCTGAGCACACACCCAAGAAATACTGTATGGCAGTAAGTCTCAGGATTCCCAGTGCCCACCTCTGGTCTGACAAATAGGGGAAGCTCAAGGAATGATTGTTGAATGAATAAAGCATTTTAGTTTTCTGTGTCCTTCTTTTTCTCTCTCTTCTAGCTATGGGGACAGAGCCTATGTCTAATTCATCTCTGTATGTTGTTATAGCCCAGAGAAGTTGGAGCTGTCCAGTCCTAGAATGAGAGTGAGCTCCCCATCTCTAGACGTGTGTAAACAGAGGCAAAGAGCCAAGTCATCCAACAGGAGCATCTGCCTAAGGGGTCTGGCCCTTCCAGCTCTGGAAGCCTGTGATTCCATGACTCTGTTCACAGATTAGGATCAATTTTCATATTGTAATCAGGTTCTGAGGAAGCGGGCTGGTGGGCTGTGGCCCCTCTCAGGTCCAGCATTTCTTTTACGGGGCTCCCCTTCACTAGCAATCTCTTCACAAGGGTCCATGGACAGAACTCGGGGCTTCATGAACTTGCGCAGGGAATGTATCACATCTGTTATTCATTAACCTTTAACTGAAATCTACCATTTTCTTCCATTAGGAATGAAGGCAGCAAACCACAGTGCCTCTGTGATATTTTCATTATCACCATACAATTGTGGCAGATATCTGGAGATATCATTTATGCTCATCACTATGGATGTATAATAGTCATTGGACCTTCTGCTAGATCTTGTTATTTAATACAGTGTAAAGATATACATAACTTGCTATATTACAAACTTGTATTTCTAATATTTTGATAACTGAATTTCAATATAATTGATTTCCTTCGCAATGCTACACACTTTATTGTATGCATTTAAAAACATCAATCTGAAGGGCTCCATAGGCTTCCCCAGATTGCTCACAAAGGGACAAAAAGGGTTAAGAAGTCCTGACTCACCTTGGAGCCTGGAACCTGGGGCAGATTGGCTCAAAGAAATGCCACGAGATCTCAACGTCAGCCCTGGGGAAAGACTGACACTCTAGACAGAAGTTTTCTAGGAAGGAGGCTGGGAGCTATGATCAGATTCAATGGGTGCTCACCACTGTAGAAAGCCCTGTGCCTGGGCGCTGAAAGGGGCGGAAAGCACCAGTCAGAGCCAGCCAAGCCAAGGAATGTTCTGGCTGCGACTCCTGGGTCCTAGGCAATCCACTAGGCCAGTGAGATTTATGGCCAGAACCACCCAGCGCCCAGCTGGGGAAGATCAGTCACCTCCTCCCGCTGCCCACTCACTCAGCCAAGAAACAGAAGGGCTGGCCCTGTGCCCAGAGCCCAGCCTGCCAGCAGAGGTCCGAAGGCCAAATCCTTACCTGGAGGTTCAGCACAGCCCTGCTATCCTGCCCAAGGCCACAGGCTGGCAGTGGAACCAAGCTGGGGTGCTGGTTTCTGGAATC